CGAGCTCCAGAATGACAGTGGGGCCTGGGAACCTTATGAGCCGCTAAGAAACTCCACCCGGGGCTCCCGGCAAGGAAGGCAGCCCTCCACATACTGCCCCGCAGAAGCCTGGAAAAGGTACATCGATCAGCGACAATGGTCTTTGATCTTGTGTCGATTCTGCATTAGTAGTTCTAGGTTGACAGCCTGAAATTCCCAAATCTTGAGGCAAAATTACAAAGTCATATGTACGATGAATTGAATCTCCGATGCAATGCATTTTCTCGATGCTTTTGTTTTTGCGTTGCTCGGTGAATGGCCAAGATTATTGAAGTCAATACGGGGACCAGATCTCGGACAGGGAACCGAGACCTGATCCCAGCTCGCGGGATGCAGCTGCCAGGGCCCAAAATTTCTCTCGGGTCAGGCACCCCAGGAACAAAGCAAGTCCCCCCGCAAGGCATTTCCGAATTTCGTCAAGGATGGGTTTGGACATTACATACCACAAAAGATGCAATGTCCCAGCTCCAAGGTCGATAATTGAGACAGCGGTATCACAGTCGGAGAGTGTACTCTTTAACAAGACAATAACGGTCCCATGACGACGGTAGAATTGGCCTTCCGTGAACCGGGAAATTAGGACTCGGCGTGCTCCAGTTCAACGGGCTTCAAGATTTTGTTCTAGAAGGGTCACGAAACTGGAATCTCTTGGGTGGGCCATGCATTGTGTGTGCACAGAGTGCGTTCATGTTGGCGGTTGGACCGATCATCGGCCATCCTTTCCAATATTGACTTGGTAATAAGACGCTGTCCTCCGTAATGAACTTCGCCGGACATTGGGAACGGTGGAGAGCACGCCGAGACGAGGATGTGAGGAAATGACCTCGATTATGACATAGCAAACCCATTCATGCCTTGTATCCGCCGCATCTTGAGCACAGACAACACCATCTTGGGGTTGCTTTTCTCGGGACAACTTCCCAACCTTGAACTTGGAACTCGACAAGTGACTGGATCAGCACCTTTGGTACGGTACCGCCTGTGCCTCCGGGGCAAAAGAAAAAAATCAGAGTTGAAACGCCCCGTCGGTGCTTTTGCTGCTATCCAATGGGCGACTGCGGCAGTGGTTTTTGTCAATTCCTTTCCGCAGTTTTTGCCTGTTGATGCCGTCCAGGCGATGTTGATGGGGGCTGATGATATCGCTGATCCTGGCTCGACTGGGGCACAAGTCTCCACTCAAGGCTGTTGTCTGGTAAAGTCTGACAAGCCAAGGTCAGCCCTGGTGCCCTGGCATCCGTTTGGGATCCATCCATACCCAGCATTCCGGGGGCTAGCATGGCAACCAACACCCCAACAAGGCCCCCTACCTCTCACTGCCCGAATTTTTTCCCTAATGTCGTAATGGGCCAGGCGAGGTTGGGTGCCTTGCCTTGAATAAAAAGGACCCGAGGACGGCGTATGTCGAGTGCTTTTGCAAGTCCGTTCCTGAAACATATTATTTTCAGAAATAGCCTCGCTGCCGTGCTTGAGCTCCTGAGCCTCCTGGGAACTATATATGACTGTTCGACAACGACAATCATCTGGTCAGCCCTGCCTCGCACACAAGAGCATTGTCAAGCATCCCCCGAGACAGCGGACATTACGACGATAACAGCTCTCCGAGAGACACGATACACGAGCTCATCCCGGTCTCCTTCATCACAACTTTAACCCGAGGTTGAGAGAAAAGAAGAAAAAAAGCTGGAATTAAATTGCCATGAGATTCTCGATTGGGATTTGGACTCTTTAACAGCAGACACATCCTTCCATTTCCTGGGCAAGTTTTCACCTGTCGATTGCCATTTTGGGCTGCATCTCCTCTGTACCTGCAGAGAGAGATAGGCCAACTGGCGGCAGTTGACCGAATGCAGGAGCGACAGCAGGCTTGGGTCTCCACCACTCCTTTCCCTTTGTGGGCACGCCCGGCACAGAACGATTTGCTTCCACACCACCAGAACCTCCAGAGCCAGAACCAGCGCCAGCACTCTCTGAAGTGTCAGGAGTGTCAGCACCAAGACCACCACGAGCGCTCTCACGACCGCCCAGGCGCCTTGCATACCATCATCGGCAAAAGGGGGTTGCAAGAGTCGCTTCCATTTACTCGACGATTGTGCCTGCATTCACCCTCGCACTCGAACGCCTCGCCTGCCATTCAGCGGCTCTCGCCTGTTGCCTCCCGCCTGCACACTTCCCGTCGGTGCCACATCCAAGCCAACGGCAAAAATACAATTCTGCGGCAACGACAGCAGCCGAGCCAATTGAGATACAGCCAGGCGCGACTACGCTTTGTGCATTGTGAAGGAGAGTGGTTGGAATTGTTGGACCAGGCAAAAGGGGCACCGCCGGTCGCACGGGGACCTCGACAGAGATACCCTAGATACCGCTACCGTTACAGCGTCAAGGAGGCCGTCTCGGCGGCCGCCATTGACAGCTCTTTCCGACGGCTTCAGTCACGGCGCCAGCAGCCCACCCCACGAGAACGCCCGAAGCGACGACCACCATAGATGCATCGTCTCGCATTTCTCTTTCCCCGCCGCCTGCAGCCGACTCAAACACACGCTTTCCGTCTCCATCCCAACAACCCTCGTACCCTGGCGCAACAACACCCACGCCCCCTTTACCATCGCCTATTCCCGTTCCTTTGCCTGTCCCCGGAGCGGCGCGACTAGCGCCTGACGGTCAGCCACGCAGAAACAACTCTTTTCGACGAGCCTACGCCCACGCCCAGCAGTCCTTTTTGCAATCTCCATTCCGCACTCGCGGCGCCGCTGCTGCTCTCAACGCTGGTCCTTTCCAACGCCCACTCCGACGCCTCTCGGCTGCCCGTCTTTGGAACCCAACCAATTCGACCCCACGAGGCCCCGACCCTTCGGCATCGGCCAGAAGAAGACGCCCATCGACTCCGCCGCCCCCGGCTGTGCCACTCAACCTTCCCTCACTTGATCTTCCGGCCGGACCAGCTGAGCCGCCCGGAACTGGCACCGGCGACCATCCATTGCTAACTCTTCCCGAAGTACCCCAAAACCGGCTGACCCTTACGACCCGTGCGAGCCTCCAATTTGAGCGCAGTGCGGGGAGCGAGCAGCGCGTAAATCTCCCACGCTCTGTACGTCATTCCTACGACGGAAAGCGCGCGAGCATTACGCCCTCTCCGGTAGAAGACCCCGGAGTTGGACCCTCGCTGCTTCGAGTCACGGCCGAACTGCCCGAACCGAACGACCCGAACCCGTCGCCAGTGGGTCTCAGCTTCGAGCCCACAGTCACAGGCGACCAACAAACTCGCACGAAACTGGACAAGGGAAAGGGGAAAGCAATCATGAGTCCACACGCAGACGATCCAGAACATGGCAGGGGAGGGTTCTCTCATGACCTGGAGCGGGGAATGGATGGCAACCCTCGGTATTCCACAGCGTCCCGGGTGTCTGGGATTGGATCGGCCATCACATCATCAAGCGACGACTCGTCGATAATGGGTGACCCTGATCAGCAGCCCGACACTGGTGAAGAATGGGGCCCTCAGCACCCTTGTTTCCCCCATCTCAATCCCCATGTGCCGATCGATTCACCCGAATACGTCACTACGCGCATCATCCGAGTCCGCCGGGACTGGCTGCTGCAGGGTGACCTCGCGCCAACGTTTTCCAACCTGTACCCCGAAATTCTGGATCCGGCAGGATTATCCGAGCAAGAGTTCCGCCGCGTGATAGAGAAGCTCAACGGGGAGCTTGTGCCCATCTTTAGCCCGTACAACTGGAGGAACATCCTGGACGGCGTGTTAGGTGTTGCAACCGGGTGGCTATGGGAGGACTTGGGTCTTACAGGCGTCAAGGCACGGCTTAAGAAGCTTGAAAAATGGATCGAGGATTGGAATCTGGAAATGGAGAAGTCCATAGCGAACGTCGAGGGTGCCGTGCCGCCCAAGATTATTCCCCTGAGGCGGACTGGGTACATGACTGTGAGTTGTTTCTTCCACGTGCGTGTTTTCGACGGGCCCTAACCGCATCTATAGCTCGATATCCAAATTCCGGACCCAGAGATAGCACCTGCACCTCCCAGTACGCCGGGAGCTTCACGAAACGGGCCGATTATGCCCATAGAGCCTCCAGCAGCTGTCACTGCATAGAAGAAAAACCTGCAACGGATTCTCTATTGTGAATAAATCCTTACGACTTGCGAAAATGTCCGCCTATATACCCCTTCTTATACCTAATACCACCCTTCTATTAATTCCCCGACACACAACAGCATGACTGATGAACAATATCGTTTTCCATCCGACGATAATCCTTCAGTTTTCCTTTGGAGTTTTCTTTCTCTTCTTTTTGTCCTACATACCCCCTTTTCCTTTACGTCTGTGGATTGTTTGGATTTCTTTGATGGGGTGCTTTGCAAATAGCATTTAGCATCTAGCGTTTCCTCTTCTGTTTCTTCCTTTGACGGAATGGTGGGACAATGGGCGGTGGATGTTGTAGTGTTTTTCTGGTGCCGAACCTGCTCTTCGTCTCCATTTGCTTGGGCAAGATGAGGGGGATGTTGGTTTCCCTCAGGCATATATAGACTTTTTGTACCGTACTGTACATTGCTGTAGGCAGATACTAGACGCGAATGGGTGTCTCAAGACGCGTATTTTGAAAGCAGAGAACCTTGTTGAATATGGGCCATTAACTGAGTGTCTGTCTCATCAAGAGGTTATCGTAATCTCCAAGGCAAGTCGGTGGCTCCTGTAAACCCCAAATTAGACCGAGAGCGTTTGAAGGATTGACCCATGTCTAACACTGATGGCTATGGTGAAAATCAAGAATGAAGGTAGTTAACCGAAAGACATAGTTATAAGAAGTTCAAACATGGGATGATGGATGGATGGATCAATGGATGAAGAGATATGCGGTCGGAGCATACAAGAAAAAAAGAAAAAAAAAGAAAAGAAAAATGATCTCACAAGGAAACAAAAGTAAGAACTTATCAATTGTTATTACTACTCATGCCCACAATCAGAATCGAACTGATGACCTCATCATTGGCCTAGAATCAGAAACCTCAAGGAGGTTTTTGGTTGTCCTGAATACTAGTGATGCGCTCTACCCCTGAGCCATGCGGGCTTGCTTGCTCCATGCTTGCTTGAATTTACTGCGAGGTATTCCGGAATATTAGATTAGCATTTTCACATGTGCAAAACCTTAAGGGTTTATTTTTGTGCTGTAAGTGGAGATGGATGGATATTCCTTCGGCAAAAGTATGGATCTCTTCGTAGGGTTTGACAGAGAGGATGGGGTCGCTGGCTCGCTGCTGATGAATCTCAAGTCGAAAGGGTCAGTCAGCCAGCAGGAAAAGAACGAGATTCATCACTTCGTACAGATGCAACATAATTAATAGGGGCAGCAGACCTCCCGTATTGATGGAAATCGTTCTTTATATTGTCCTCTACTTGGCTTTCTGTATAAGCACTCGCTATTCTTTTGGGAATCATCGACTCTAGAGAAAGAAAGAAAAGAACAGAATCTGGCCTCCTTTGAAAAGCCCATCCGGGCAAAACAACCAGCTTCCGAGTCTAGCCTATCGCCATAACTGCTGTTTCCTCTGCGTCCCTTTAAGCTATTGAAGAACACCAACGCACCACTAACCAAGGTCAACTCGTCATCATCCAGCTGCAAATTTGACACGGCTCCTCAGAATCTACCGCCTGATATACCTCCAGGTTCGCGCCTCCAGGCCGATAGTGGCCCTTCAGACATTGATGCCGCGTCTCAGAAGGAGAACTCTACGCCCCCCGGCTCTTCAACAGATTCTGAATGTAATTGACGACCACCTTCCTATCGGTTGAGGTGGTCAGGGTGCTGATAAACTCGGCCGCCATATCCCCTGCAATTCCTACTCTTGGGAAAATAACCTCCTGCAGGTTCCTGATGAAGGCATCTCCGGTCTTGGCGTAAATGGTCTGCTCGACACCGGCAATCTCGCTCAGTACCTGGCGTGACTGAGCGTCACTGAAGGGCTTGAACTCGCGATCTTGTAGAACCTCCCAGCAGGTCAGATGGAACCGTTCAATCATGAATTGGTCGAACCCCGGGATGGTGGGTTGTGCAGCCTGACCCGTCGACACTGGGTTCTTGCCAATAGTGGCGATGTCGGGGCCGCCCCATAAAGAAGCCATGCGTTGCAAGCAGTTGAACCCAATACGGCTCGCTACAAGGTGCCCGTGGGATATTGTTTTGGCAATGGCGATGATGGAGGTGATCAGAGACTCGAACGCGCCCTGGTTGGCCTCACTGACCAGCACGCCGCCGAGATCGTTGATGAGAATGACTTGGATAAACGTGACGTACTCGCGACGCAACTCCTGCAGCTGTATGCCGTCGTCCGTTCCATTGATCGGCTGGGAGAGGCCTGCGAAAACAAGGTTGAGGAGCGGGGTCAAGAGGACATCGAGGACATTGTAGATTTCTCCCTTGAAGTTGAACACGACCTGTTCCAGCAGCCGGAGGAATAAAGCCATCTCGTCCTTGGAGGCGCTGCGAGAGAGCAAGCCTTCGATCCACTGTGGAAGCTGAGGAAGGACTGCCGAGCCCAAAACGCCCAGGAGTCTTGAAAAGGCGGAGCGACAGGCGTAACGGATCTCTCCGTTGGCGTTGAGCTCATTGAGCGAGACAAGAATCGCACCAGCACCTCTGGCAAACTCTTCCGAAATCTCCTTGGGCGGTGGTTGTTTGTTGGTCTGATTGGGGTTCCAGTCGGCAAATCCCGTGGCAAGAGTGCCCAGAGCCAGCACAATATGATGGATCTGCTGGACCGCTTGAGCATCTCCAGATTTTGCCCGTGGCAGATACACCTCCATGTCATTAAAGAGAGGATCCATGACCGAGCGCGCATAGAGAGCCTGCTCCTGGGGTGGGGTGGTCGAAGTGGAAGAGATAAGCCCGACTGCCTCAAACAGGAACAGCTGGCTGTTGAAGATGGAATCAGGCGAATGGTCGGATTCGTCAGACGACATGTCGTCGTCGGCCTCATTGCTGGGGGCCTCGGCCTTGATGGGCAAAAGGTCTGCAATCGACTGGATGATGGTCTTGGCCACGTTTCCGACCTGGGCCCTCAGCTGTTTCACAAACCGCATAAAGAGATACCAAGACCTCGTGCGGACTCTCACGTGGTTATGATGAACTAGGCGCACAAAGTTCTCGAGCACCCTGGGAATATACTGCTGATGGGTTTCAAAGAAGGAATAGTACCGAACGCAGATCTCCATGTACTGAAGAAGGATGGCAGGATGGGGGAAGTTTGCGATATCTTGAATAAGTAAATAGGTAGGTGTAAGTAAGGATACCATGGGAGACTAAAAACACGGGGTAAATGAAATTTCCTCACCTGAGTCCACCATTTTGCTCATCATCACAGCAAGGCGATCAGTAGCAACCGGATTGGGCTCACTCTTGTGGGCTATCCCAGCGTTGGGCAGAGCCAGCTCACCGAATAGATAGATCTCGTGAAGGGCAAGATCGAGGTCTCTCCAATCCATACCAGACGACTGTTGGTCGAGAAGGGTGAACATTCTGCCGACAAGATTGCTCAAAAAGTCTATATAAAGATTCTGATCGACGGCAGCCACGCTCTTCTGGAGAATTTGCAGCCTCTTGCGCAGGTCGATAAATTCAGCCTCCTCAGTCTGTTCGTCCTCATTTCCCCAGGTACTGGTTTCGTCAAATCGCATCTTGGATACGATGGCGCTCAATATGGGAGGCAGCATCTCGGTATAACCAGCAGGCAGTGTCCCAAGCTTCCGCAGGAACGTCAAGAGATCAGTCAGCGAGGGGATGACAGTTGAGCAAACCTCGTCGTACTCGTCAGAGAAGAGGCGCAGGAGCGAAGGCAAGAAGTCCTGGAGAAGCTGCTCCGCCTTCCTCCGTGTGGCCTCGTCCACCTTGCTATCTTCTAGGACCCGAACGATATCCGTCATAACTGTGTTGAGCAACTTGGCCACCACCTCGGCCAGATCGTTGTCGTATCTAGGTGTACCCTTGTACTCGTTCAAAGGGGGGCTTTGAAGAAGCTCCGATATGATTTCGCGGAGTTTGAGGAAAGAGATCATCTCCATTTTGTCTCCTGGCTGCATCTTCTTGGATACGATGTCGGTCAATGTGTTGATGGCCGCCTCTCTGACCTTGTCTTCGACATCGCCTTGTACTGCTCGACCGACAAGGGGGAGCAGGAGGTTGAGCATCTCTTGGTTGATAATCAACGAGATGTCAATCCAGCTGACCCATTTACCGATAACTTTGAGCGTGAGCTCGACCACGGCATCGTTTTGGTTGGAAAACTGAGCCAAAATCCTTTGCCAAGAAGCGGCAATCTTTCTCATGTCTCTTTCTCGAACAAGGTCCTTCAACTCGTTATTCCTCCTGGATTCCTGCCCTTGTCGCGTGAGCATCAGGTCCCCAATTTCGTCGTGGACCGAGTCAATGACCCGGAGGTACATGAAGACTCCGGGAAGATTATCTCCCTGGGAGCCGTCAGGAGAGAGTGTCAAAGTTAGGAAGTCATCGATGAAGCTCTCCCATCCTTCCTTGTAAAGACACACAAACAGGTAGGTCAAGGTCTGGGTGATCTTGTTCTGGAGATGGGATGGGTCGGCAGGATCTTGCGCGTTGGCACTATAGGTCCGCCGAACGTAGTCGAGAAGTGCATTTTTGAGGTAGACAAGATTTTGGCTGTCCAGGATTTGGCGGTTGACGGCGGTGTTGACCAGTTCCAAAGACACAAGACGAACAACTTCGGACGCCCGCGGGGATCTCGTAAAAAGGTTGATGCCCGCTTGCCAGGCCTGAGCTTGCGGGTTCAAGCTCAACTGGTTGATGAACTCGACGGCTTGGCTCTTGAGTGTCGAGTCTGAGGAAGGATTAGAGGCGATTTCGATCGCGTTCTCGATCTGCAGGAGCAGCATATGATATTAGCGCCAGTTCCAGTAGTCAATACCTGTAGTCCATGGTCGCGCTGGAAAATTCGAGGCAGCAGACCGCATCATGGTCTTCATGGTGGGGTTGGGCTCTTTGCGCGGGGCAGAGCGGTGATGTAAAAACAAGGGCAAGCTGACCTGTGCCTCCATGGTGTGGTGTATATGACACCTGGGAGACGGAAAGTGTTGTATGATTATTTAATGGCGAGCTAGGGGCGTGTTTGCGAAGCTGCTATAACGTGGGCAGCCTTGAATTATAAGTATTCAGCATTCTCAAAGGCAGTGGATGTAGCGCCGAGGATTCTTAAGTTCTGAGCGGGGGGTCCTAGTTGGTTGCCATCGTCCACGTTTTGCTGAATTTCTTTTCAGTTCGGGATTTATATAGCTCGTCTCGCAGGCAACAAAGGATAGTTTAGGTGGTGAAGTGTCAGATAAGATTTTTCCTGTCGGCTAACTGTCGCAGAAGTTTGTACAAAATATAAAGTTAGGTAGGTTGGGATGGTGTTGCTGCCAGAATGTTGTGAGGTGGCAGGCTCTTGGTCATGGTGGGGTAATTAAATTGAGACTTTCAGACAAAAATGTCGGAGGCGGTGGCAGGCAAGATCGGCCAGGCTGCCGAGACTGGACGGGACCACTGACCGCCCGCTACGCCTCCTACCTAGGCAAAATGACTGGAAGATGTGGAGAGCTCGCGGGAGCTTGAAGGAGGCCCTCACGTGCCCCTCACTACTGTTGTCAAAGCAAAACGTTTGACGAAGGAGCGGAATGTACGGATACGGGATATGAAAGGCTGATTCATATTCCGTTCTGTCAGTCGAGTCATTCTGTCACACCTCTTGACTGTTGTGAACCCCATGGGAACCTGAAATTAGCGATTGGATAGAAATTTTCCATTGCAACAGTTCCGGTCGTCAGGTCATGATGTACACTGGTATTATACCATGTGCATACGTAGTAGTTTAGAGATCAGGATCAGGAGCCGCCAGTGAAGCAAAATGTTTCAACCCAACGGAGCATCATTGGGCGCATGTTTACACCTCGGAAGTTGGAGTGGCAGAACAAGCCCTGGCCAACGGTTGTGGTCCCTGGTGGCGTTGCCAAGTCTTCCAGAACCTTACTCTTTTCGGCACTGTTTCGTGCTCTTTCACATTAGTT